TTGTAAAACGTACGATAGTTCCTCGCACAGTGTCATCTAACAGGACAGGTAGAAATAGACTATTGTAAAACATACGATAGTTCCTCATACAGTGTCATCTAACAGGACAGGTTAAAATATATTATTGTAAAACGTACGATAGTTCCTCATACAGTGTCTTCTAACAGGACAGGTTGAAACAGACTATTGTAAAACATACGATAGTTCCTCAAACAGTGTCTTCTAACAGGACAGGTTAAAATAGACTATTGTAAAACATACGATAGCTCCTCATACAGTGTCATCTAACAGGACAGGTTGAAATAGACTATTGTAAAACATACGATAGTTCCTCATACAGTGTCATCTAACAGGACAGGTTAAAACATATTATTGTAAAACATACGATAGTTCCTCATACAGTGTCATCTAACAGGACAGTTTAAAATATATTGTAAAACATACGATAGTTCCTTGCACAGTGTCATCTAACAGGACAGGTTGAAATAGACTGTTGTAAAACGTACGATAGTTCCTCATACAGTGTCATCTAACAGGACAGGTTAAAATATATATTGTAAAACATACGATAGTTCCTCATACAGTGTCATCTAACAGGACAGGTTAAAACATATTATTGTAAAACATACGATAGTTCCTCGCACAGTGTCATCTAACAGGACAGGTTGAAATAGACTATTGTAAAACATACGATAGTTCCTCATACAGTGTCATCTAACAGGACAGGTTGAAATAGACTATTGTAAAACATACGATAGTTCCTCGCACAGTGTCATCTAACAGGACAGGTTGAAATAGACTATTGTAAAACATACGATAGTTCCTCATACAGTGTCATCTAACAGGACAGGTTAAAATATATTGTAAAACGTACGATAGTTCCTCGCACAGTGTCATCTAACAGGACAGGTTGAAATAGACTATTGTAAAACATACGATAGTTCCTCATACAGTGTCATCTAACAGGACAGGTTGAAATAGACTGTTGTAAAACGTACGATAGTTCCTCATACAGTGTCATCTAACAGGACAGGTTGAAATAGACTATTGTAAAACATACGATAGTTCCTCATACAGTGTCATCTAACAGGACAGGTTGAAATAGACTATTGTAAAACATACGATAGTTCCTCATACAGTGTCATCTACAGGACAGGTTGAAATATATCATTGTAAAACGTACGATAGTTCCTCGCACAGTGTCATCTAACAGGACAGGTTAGAAATATATTATTGTAAAACATACGATAGTTCCTCATACAGTGTCATCTAACAGGACAGGTTGAAATATACTATTGTAAAACATACGATAGTTCCTCATACAGTGTCATCTAACAGGACAGGTTGGAACAGACTATTGTAAAACATACGATAGTTCCTCGCACAGTGTCATCTAACAGGACAGGTTGAAATAGACTATTGTAAAACATACGATAGTTCCTCATACAGTGTCATCTAACAGGACAGGTAGAAATATATTATTGTAAAACATACGATAGTTCCTCGCACAGTGTCATCTAACAGGACAGGTTAAAACATATTATTGTAAAACATACGATAGTTCCTCATACAGTGTCATCTAACAGGACAGGTTAAAACATATTATTGTAAAACATACGATAGTTCCTCGCACAGTGTCATCTAACAGGACAGGTTAAAACATATTATTGTAAAACATACGATAGTTCCTCATACAGTGTCATCTAACAGGACAGGTTGAAATAGACTGTTGTAAAACGTACGATAGTTCCTCATACAGTGTCATCTAACAGGACAGGTTAAAATATATTATTGTAAAACGTACTCTAGTTCCTCATATAGTGTCTTCTAACAGGACAGGTTGAAACAGACTATTGTAAAACATACGATAGTTCCTCGCACAGTGTCATCTAACAGGACAGGTTAAAACATATTATTGTAAAACATACGATAGTTCCTCATACAGTGTCTTCTAACAGGACAGGTAGAAATATATTATTGTAAAACATACGATAGTTCCTCGCACAGTGTCATCTAACAGGACAGGTTAAAACATATTATTGTAAAACATACGATAGTTCCTCATACAGTGTCATCTAACAGGACAGGTTGAAATATATTATTGTAAAACATACGAAAGTTCCTCGCATAGTGTCATCTAACAGGACAGGTTAAAACATATTATTGTAAAACGTACGATAGTTCCTCGCACAGTGTCATCTAACAGGACAGGTTGAAATATATTATTGTAAAACATACGAAAGTTCCTCGCATAGTGTCATCTAACAGGACAGGTTAAAACATATTATTGTAAAACATACGATAGTTCCTCATACAGTGTCATCTAACAGGACAGGTTAAAATATATTATTGTAAAACATACGATAGTTCCTCATACAGTGTCTTCTAACAGGACAGGTAGAAATATATTATTGTAAAACATACGATAGTTCCTCGCACAGTGTCATCTAACAGGACAGGTTAAAACATATTATTGTAAAACATACGATAGTTCCTCATACAGTGTCATCTAACAGGACAGGTTAGAAATATATTATTGTAAAACATACGATAGTTCCTCATACAGTGTCATCTAACAGGACAGGTTAAATATATTATTGTAAAACATACGATAGTTCCTCGCACAGTGTCATCTAACAGGACAGGTTAAAACATATTATTGTAAAACATACGATAGTTCCTCATACAGTGTCTTCTAACAGGACAGGTTAAAATAGACTATTGTAAAACATACGATAGTTCCTCATACAGTGTCATCTAACAGGACAGGTTGAAATAGACTATTGTAAAACATACGATAGTTCCTCATACAGTGTCATCTAACAGGACAGGTTAAAATATATTGTAAAACGTACGATAGTTCCTCGCACAGTGTCATCTAACAGGACAGGTTGAAATATATTATTGTAAAACGTACGATAGTTCCTCATACAGCGTCTTCTAACAGGACAGGTTGAAATAGACTGTTGTAAAACGTATGATAGTTCCTCATACAGTGTCATCTAACAGGACAGGTTGAAATAGACTATTGTAAAACATACGATAGTTCCTCATACAGTGTCATCTAACAGGACAGGTTGAAATAGACTATTGTAAAACATACGATAGTTCCTCAAACAGGCCAAGGTGAAATGTTCTATTTTCAAGTGGTTATTTCAACAAGGCAAAAGTGTTCTCAAACAGGGCAAGCTAAAATTCTCTTTAGTTACTGTAAACGTACAATAGTATAACACAAAATAGCATATCAAACTAGTAATGATGAATACTGACTAACGAATCAATATAGTAGATGGAGTATGATGAAAACTGACTGGTGACGCTATATAGAAGATTGGTTGTGATGAATATTGACTGAGGACACTACCTAGAAGATTGGCTGTGATGAATATTGACTGATGACACTATATAGAAGATTAGAGACAATGAAAATTGACTAATGACACTTTATATAGAAGATTAGTGAAAATGAAAACTGACTGGTGACACTATATAGAAGATTGGTGATGATGAATATTGACTGATGACACGTTATATAGAAGATTAGTGAGGATAAAGATGGACTGATGACACTATATAGGAAATTGGTGAGAATGAATATTGACTGATGACACTATATAGAAGATTGGTTGTGATGAATATTGACTGAGGACACTTTATATAGAAGATTGGTTGTGATGAATATTGACTGAGGACACTTTATATAGAAGATTGGCTGTGATGAATATTGACTGATGACACTATATAGAAGATTGGTTGTGATGAATATTGACTGATGACACTATATAGAAGATTGGTTGTGATGAATATTGACTGATGACACTATATAGAAGATTGGTTGTGATGAATATTGACTGATGACACTTTATAGAAGATTGGTTGTGATGAATATTGACTGATGACACTATATAGAAGATTGGTTGTGATGAATATTGACTGATGACACTTTATATAGAAGATTGGTTGTGATGAATATTGACTGATGACACTATATAGAAGATTGGTTGTGATGAATATTGACTGATGACACTATATAGAAGATTGGTTGTGATGAATATTGACTGATGACACTTTATATAGAAGATTGGCTGTGATGAATATTGACTGATGACACTTTATATAGAAGATTGGTTGTGATGAATATTGACTGATGACACTATATAGAAGATTGGTTGTGATGAATATTGACTGATGACACTATATAGAAGATTGGTTGTGATGAATATTGACTGATGACACTTTATATAGAAGATTGGCTGTGATGAATATTGACTGATGACACTATATAGAAGATTGGTTGTGATGAATATTGACTGATGACACTATATAGGAAATTGGTGAGGATGAATATTGACTGATGACACTATATAGAAGATTGGTGAGGATGAATATTGACTGATGACACTATATAGAAGATTGGTGAGGATGAATATTGACTGATGACACTATATAGGAAATTGGTGAGGATGAATATTGACTGATGACACTATATATAGGAGATTGGTGAGGATGAATATTGACTGATGACACTATATAGGAAATTGGTGAGGATGAATATTGACTGATGACACTATATAGGAAATTGGTGAGGATGAATATTGACTGATGACACTATATAGGAAATTGGTGAGGATGAATATTGACTGATGAAATAACTCGGTAACAATGCTTTTTATTAATGAAGATATACTTGTAAATAAGATTATCACAAATATTGACATATGAAGCAGCATTATTAGTAGCAGTATATATATTTATAGCAGATCGGTGAACATGTAACGTATGACTGACAAATGTACATTTTAAAATTATATGATTACCAGCACAAGTTGTGTATGAGTGAACATTTACTGTTACAACAATGCTGTCTAAGATAGATTGTAGAATACATGTACATCAAGCTTTTCTGTAACCCTGGTACACAAACGAAGCGAAAACTACACATTGTACACGGTTTCAGCTAATATATTATATACACACCATGAAACCGTGAAGTGCTGGTAAAAATCGGGAATGATTAAACAAATCTCTATAAAGTGAACCTAAAAGCCAATATATGACTATATGTTGAAGACGGGAGAGCTAGCTAATAAGTGATGTACAGTTGACAGTGTTTGGTGGTTTAAGTACCGAAAGGGGAGGTCCTTGCCAGAACTTGCTGTTAGCTAAATCTATGAAAATGCCACCACTGACTATTGAGAAAACTAACACCTAGTGCTGAGGGATTCACATGATAGCCACAACATGCAGGCATATTTAATCAAATCGTCGCCCAACAGATGCAACCAGTAAACAACGTTGTGGGCATTGGGATATAAAACGGTGGTATAGCGGCAGAGCAGCAGCTTCTAATGGCTCAGTAATCCGCCTTGTCATGTTCACACACGTGGCGGCAAAGAAATACGCTTTTTATGGATAAACTGTCTCACTGATTTGAAAGACGTTTTTCTCGGGTATTGGATTGTAATATATCATATCTGTTACAGAATTATTGACTCTGTGTACGAGCTCCATCTCCACTTACACCCTACTCAAATAGGACTTTTTTATACACGTCCTAGAGTCAACACAATTTGTGCATTATAACCGGTATGGATTGACCAAATACAACCACAAAGTTTTGGAGACACACAAGCGGAATATTAAGGATAAAGGAATTCCTGAAGCGACCATTATGGATTTGGAAGTGACAACTGTTAACACTTTAAGTGCCGTGGCATTCATGATGTGGGAGAGTTAATTATCATGGTAGTAGGAATATCCGCTTTGACAGAAAGAGGAATAGCATCTTTAAATCTCGGACAACATTCTAAAACAAAAACACAGTTTATCTTATTATATCAAATACAATGCATTATCAGGTAAATTATATATTGTTAATTAGAATTTCATTATATGTATTACTTCACCAATGTTAACATGTCTGTACTTAACCATGGTCACAAACACAATATCTAATAATGGTCAATTATCTGTACACATGCAACATAAAAGATCCACTTGTACACATAAAGTAAAATATTTACACTTGTACACTAAAAAGTAAAATACTTACACTTGTACACTAAAAAGTAAAATATTTACACTTGTACACTAAAAAGTAAAAAATTTACACTTGTACACTAAAAACTTGTACACTAAATAGTAAAAAAACTTGTACACTAAAAAGTAAAAATTTACACTTGTACACATAAAGTAAAATACTTACACTTGTACACTAAAAAGTAAAATATTTACACTTGTGCACATACACTGAAAAGTAAAATATTTACACTTGTACACTAAAAAGTAAAAAAAAATATTTACACTTGTACACTAAAAAAAAGTAAAATATCTTACACTTGTACACTAAAAAGTAAAATACTTACACTTGTACACTAAAAAGTAAAAAAAAGTAAAATACACTTGTACACTAAAAAGTAAAATACACTTGTACACTAAAAAGTAAAATATTTACACTTGTGCACATAAAAAGTAAAATATTTACACTTGTACACTAAAAAGTAAAAAAATATTTACACTTGTACACTAAAAATTAAAATATTTACACTTGTACACTAAAAAGTAAAATACTTACACTTGTACACTAAAAAGTAAAATATTTACAATTGTACACTAAAAAGTAAAAAATTTACACTTGTACACTAAATAGTAAAATATTTACACTTGTACACTAAAAAGTAAAATATTTACACTTGTACACTAAAAAGTAAAATATTTACACTTGTACACTAAAAAGTAAAATATTTACACTTGTACACTAAAAAGTAAAATATTTACACTTGTACACTAAAAAGTAAAATACACTTGTACACATAACGTAAAATACTGACACATGTACACTTACATAATCACACTTACACTCGTATGTTTTAGTAACATACTTACACTTGTACACATATAACTCACGCCTGTAGACTTACAGTAACAAACTTACACTTGAACACTTGCTGTATCATACTTACAACACTTTAACATTTGTTGTGTCACACTTACAACACTTGAACACTGACGCTTGAACAGTTGCAGTATTATACATGTAAATTTAAAGTATCACTTGAATACTTTATGCTAACTTCTGTTGCAGAATCGTTCTGCAATGGATGACGCTGCTGACATTATGTACAGATCATCATACCGCTATGAGTAGTATTCAATGGTTGGTAGGAATACAATATTGACCGACAGGTGAGTAAAATGGTTGTAAATGAACTATTTTTGTAGTCTATTTTTGAATTCTAAAAGCATCGTGGTTTGGCCTGGAACCTATGTTTAGATCGATCAGTACTGGCCGACCACGCACTGGTATGGCAGTAAGTACCATTTGTCTGTTCTGTACGAGGAATTCGTTTAGATAATACTCGGGGTTGTGACTGTGTCACTGATTGACGATCTCAGAGTTACACGTACACAAATAAACCTAACAAATCGCTTTATTTGTGTGAGGCCATTTTTGTTTTTTAAAAACTTATTTTCAAATGTACAGAACTTCATAGTACGCTCTTGTCTGATCAATCATTTGGAACATCCCGGTTAAAGTCCGTCCTGATCAATCAACGTTTTTGTTGCATTGTATTAGATTTACGATAAATAACATATCACCCTGTCGTTATGAGCAGATGATCAAGCAATGCCTGTTTGTCTTTCATCTTTCCACCGGAAGGTATGCTGGCGGAGCGTTATGTGTATCAACAGTGGGTACTGAAGACACACTCTGTGATATCGAAATGACCTGGAGGAATAATACATCCCCCGAACGTTAAAACGGTTGGAGTGGGCTTCAAGCATTGTGTATTCGACAGGCGACTGTCACTGTTTGTACAATCTAACGAACGTTATCAACATGTCTCAGCGAAAGAGTCATCGAACCAAGAAGGATTCTAAATTAATGAAGGGTTTTACCATCGACGATTCTGTGCTGGGTTTTCCTCCCAATCGTTCCTCTGTTCAGGTAGGTATTTCATTATATAAATTCGTAAACAAAGAAGAAATTTGAAGTCAAATTTTATTTATACTTTAATTACTTTTAAAGCTTTTGAATACTATGCGGATATAGGAAAAATCTCAACTTGAAATTTTCTACCAAGCAACAGTCTTCAGTCGGGATTTTATGTTATGTAATATGTGTGATCACGACTGAATCAGTGTCTGTCAGCACGTACAGTACTTGACGGGTAAATGGAATATCTGAATATACTGTGCTGCTTGAGTAGGATTATTTATATTCATGGAGATTCTGGTCGGCTACCACAAGGTTCACGTAGGATAAGGTATAACTGTGTTTCATCAATAGCAAAGAGCTAGATGGCTGATGAACAGCACAAACAATGTATGCGTACCTCTAAACATCAAGGACATAGGTTGAATGACTAAGATATTTCGTGACAAAATAATGTTTTTGCCATGTTTGGGTTTACATGCACGTACACCTAAATACATGATAAAAGCTTTTAGTGAGCAGCATGCCATTTGGGTTCTATGTGGTTGTCATTGTACAGTGTGTGGCCTTTGTTGATTTGTCTTCAGGAACATGCATATTATAACTGGCTTGACCAATAAAGTATTTAGCTTTGTGACCCCAGCCTCAAGGCAGACACTAACATTTTACAAAAAAAAAATATCATCCAGCATTATGTATCAAATGACAAGTGACAAATGATTGAATATACAGAAAATCAAATGTAAAATACTGGTATGTCACACCTCTATTCAAAGTAAAAGTCAACTTTGTATACGCTTCAATAACTGTGAAATGATAGTATGAAGCATCTCTATTTAATGATATTTTCAGCTGTGTATACATCTCAATAACTGTAATATACTACAATGTGTCACCTCTATCTAATGTCACAGTCAACTGTGTATACAGCTATCTAATGTCACAGTCGACTGTGTATACAGCTATCTAATGTCACAGTCGACTGTGTATACAGCTATCTAATGTCACAGTCGACTGTGTATACAGCTATCTAATGTCACAGTCGACTGTGTATACATCTATCTAATGTCACAGTCGACTGTGTATACAGCTATCTAATGTCACAGTCGACTGTGTATACAGCTATCTAATGTCACAGTCGACTGTGTATACAGCTACCTAATGTCACAGTCGACTGTGTATACAGCTACCTAATGTCACAGTCGACTGTGTATACAGCTACCTAATGTCACAGTCGACTGTGTATACAGCTACCTAATGTCACAGTCGACTGTGTATACAGCTATCTAATGTCACAGTCGACTGTGTATACAGCTATCTAATGTCACAGTCGACTGTGTATACAGCTACCTAATGTCACCGTCAACTGTGTATACAGCTACCTAATGTCACCGTCAACTGTGTATACAGCTATCTAATGTCACAGTCAACTGTGTATACAGACCAATAACTGTGGTATACTACAATGTGTCACTTCTATCTAATATTGCAATAAACATTTCGAGAACAGCTGAAATGATGTAGTTCCTTGTGGCATCATAAATAGCAATTGTATTGGATTGTATAGCACAAATTGTACTTGGTTATAGGTTTAAATTGTAAACACTCACCATTCTTGCAATAAATCCATTATATTACAATCTATTTTTACGTTCTTCGAAAGCAAATTGCTCATTGATGTTATATTAAAAAGCGATGTAGCTCTCAGTCAGATTTCATGAAACTGTGTCTACCGTTTCTTCGTGAATTATTTACATTTTCGTGTCATGGAGTGGACTGATGCTATTTTCCGAATATAATAACCACGGAATTGATAAATTGAAGTCGATCTTGTCACTTTGTAACGAATTCTACATATATAATTTGGACTGTTGACGTTCACTGTAGCAGATAATGTTGACAAACTTCAAAGTACGTTATGGCGATAAGAATTATTTAGTGGCAAAATTACATGTTTCACTATAAAGTTTGTTCCGTTATGATTTGAAAGCCATGTAAAGTTACCTTTTTGTGAAGGTCTTACTTAAGTCCAACAACTTAGGATATGTCAATACTCTTAATCAGAGTGGATATTGAAACCGAAATGAAAGTGACCAGCAGCCAGTTTTGATTACCATGGAAAGATCTAGATTTATTCATTCCATCACGGACCGAATCACTGTAAATTATAGTATACAATCTCATAAACTACAGTTTGGTGTAGTAATGATATACAGGCGAATACAATACAGAATTACATTTATATCTACAAGGATAACTTTTTGGTGGACGTCTCACCTTGATCACCGAATATGTATTCATACGCTCGACCAGATGAGCGTTTATAGCCTGATATACTCCCATCATGTTTACATAGAACTAAACGGAAACCTGATGACGGAAAGGAAATAAAGCTCAATAGCTGTAACATACTAGAATTTGCACTTCTATCTAATGTCACAGTCAACTGTGTATACAGCTATCTAATGTCACAGTTAACTGTGTATACAGCTATCTAATGTCACAGTCGACTGTGTATACAGCTATCTAATGTCACAGTCAACTGTGTATACAGCTATCTAATGTCACAGTCGACTGTGTATACAGCTATCTAATGTCACAGTCGACTGTGTATACAGCTATCTAATGTCACGGTCGACTGTGTATACAGCTATCTAATGTCACGGTCGACTGTGTATACAGCTATCTAATGTCACAGTCGACTGTGTATACAGCTATCTAATGTCACAGTCGACTGTGTATACAGCTATCTAATGTCACAGTCGACTGTGTATACAGCTATCTAATGTCACAGTCGACTGTGTATACAGCTATCTAATGTCACAGTCGACTGTGTATACAGCTATCTAATGTCACAGTCGACTGTGTATACAGCTATCTAATGTCACAGTCGACTGTGTATACAGCTATCTAATGTCACAGTCGACTGTGTATACAGCTATCTAATGTCACAGTCGACTGTGTACATACAGCAGTCGACTGTGTATCTAATGTCACAGTCGACTGTGTATACAGCTATCTAATGTCACAGTCGACTGTGTATACAGCTATCTAATGTCACAGTCGACTGTGTATACAGCTATCTAATGTCACAGTCGACTGTGTATACAGCTATCTAATGTCACAGTCGACTGTGTATACAGCTATCTAATGTCACAGTCGACTGTGTATACAGCTATCTAATGTCACAGTCGACTGTGTATACAGCTATCTAATGTCACAGTCGACTGTGTATACAGCTATCTAATGTCACAGTCGACTGTGTATACTGCTATCTAATGTCACAGTCGACAGTCGACTGTGTATACAGCTATCTAATGTCACATCACCTCATCCCTTCTATCCAATGGCAAAGATCTTACTAATGTACACGATCAGCACATCCATTTTATCTAATGGCAAAGATCTTACTAATGTACACTATCACTTTATTCCTTCAATCTAATGCACAGATCTCACAGATGTACACCAACATCCCAGCCCTATTATCTACCACTTAAGATCTTATTGATGTTCACTATCTCCCCATCGCTTGTATATAATGGCAAAAATCTTACTAATGTACACTATGACCACCTCATCCCTTCTTACTAATGTAATCACTTCATCCCTTGTAAGATCTTACTAATGTACACTATCACCTCATCCCTTGTATCTAATGGCAAAGATCTTCACTAATGTACAATCATCCTCATCCCTTCTATCTAATGGCAAAGATCTTACTAATGTACACAATCACCTCATCCCTTCTATCTAATGGCAAAGATCTTACTAATGTACACTATCACTTCATCCCTTGTACCTAATGGCAAAGATCTTACTAATGTACACCATCACCGAATCCCTTGTATCTAATGGCAAAGATCTTACTAATGTACACTAACACCTTATTCCTTGTTTCTAATGGCAAAGATCTTACTAATGTACACCATCACTTCATCCCTTGTATCTAATGGTAAGGATCCTACTAATATACAGTATGACCTCATCCCTTGTACCTAATGGCAAAGATCTTACTAATGTACACCATCACCGAATCCCTTGTATCTAATGGCAAAGATCTTACTAATGTACACTAACACCTCCTCATCCCTTCTATCTAATGGCAAAGATCTTACTAATGTACACTATTACCTCATTCCTTCTATCTAATGGCAAAGATCTTACTAATGTACACTAACACCTTATTCCTTCTATCTAATGCACAGATCTTACTAATGTACACCATCACCTCATCCCTTTATTCTAATGGCAAAGATTAATGTACACTATGACCACATCCCTTTGATCTAATAGCAAAGATCTTACTAATGTACACCATCACCTCATTCCTTGTATCTAATGTATCTAATGTCCCTATTACTAATGTCACACAATCACCTCATCCCTTGTATCTGGCAAAGATCTTACTAATGTACACTATCACCTCATCCCTTGTATCTAATGGCAAAGATCTTACTAATGTACACCATCACCTCATCCCTTCTATCTAATAATGCACTAAGATCTTAATGGCAAAGAATGTATGTACACTATCACCTCATCCCTTCTATCTAATGGCAAAGATCTTACTAATGTACACCATCACCTCATCCCTTCTATCTATCTTACTAACAAAGATCTAATGTACACTATCACCTCATCCCTTCTATCTAATGCTAATGATACACTATCACAATCATCCCTTGTATCTAATGGCAAAGATCTTACTAATGTACACTATGATCATCCCTTGTATCTAATGGCACATATCTCACTAATGTACACCATCACCTCAATTATCTAATGGCAAAGATCTTACTAATGTACACTATCACCTCATCCCTTCTATCTAATGGCAAAGATCTTACTAATGTACACTATCACCTCATCCCTTGTATCTAATGGCTTGTATCTAAAGAGATCTTACTAATGTACACTATCACCTCATCCCTTCTATCTAATGGCAAAGATCTTACTAATGTACACTATCACCTCATCCCTTCTATCTAATGGCAAAGATCTTACTAATG